GCTTTTATCGTTATTATTTGAGGAGAATGTGATTAATTGATTAATACTTAGTCTTATGATTATAAATAGTATTAATGTACAGTCATTGAAATGAATAAATGTTATAGAGATGAAAATGCAGAAAGTGACGAGTCATATTCATATACATCAAAATCTGAGGAAAATCAAAAGGAAAGTGGGAGTATACCTGAGACAGGGTTAAAGTTTAAGTTCAACAATTGAATATATTAGCATGTTCCAATTTTTATATCCAATCAGTCATTGAAATCATTGAAAGAAATTGTTATAAAATAATTTCACTGTCTTTAGTTCAACTTGTACCATTCTACCATACATTCATTCTACTATTTTATTGTTGGTTTAGTTCAGATTTTAAAATGAAAAATAAAGCAACTGCTTTCTAGGATCTGGTTAAATTAGTAATCCTTGTATCATCAATTTTAATTTTTCACCTGTATTGTTCTGTCATGATTAAATTCATTTTTCAGAATGACTTGCTAGAATTTGATAAATTGATAGAAGGAATATGATCGAAAAATCATGTCTATTGATTAGCCAACCTTTTCATCTTTCTCCAATTTTAACAACAAAAAAAAGAAAGAAAATTGCTCTAAAACATATTCCGACCATTCTTGGTCATTATTTAATTATCCATCCAATTCATTACTATTTACCTGCTGATATATGATCGGAGAGATCTATCTGCTAATTTTCTTTTTGTATTATTAAAATTAGGTAACATTTGCCTTATAATTAGGTAACATTTGCCCAAAATTTCCTGAATTTTTAATTTTTCTTAATGTCTTTTCCATCTTAAAAAATTTGGTGATTTTATTGGATATTTCATGCAAAGGATCTAATAAAATATTTGAAGTTATAGAATAAAAAATTTTCATCAGTTTGCGGAAATAATCAATAAAACCGAAGTATGGAAAAATGAAAGGATAAAAGAGCAACTTATATTTTGCACATTTTTGAAGAGAGTAACAACCTTAAATTAAACCATCAGACTAAAGCATAAATAGACTTCAGACAGTTAATTTACTTACATCCGTATATACCAACATTAGTATTAATTTTAAAAATGATGATTTCATCCTACAGTAAGTCTTATAATTGATTTTTAATAAACCAAAACATAAATCGGATACATTTAATATATTATTTCTGTAGTGTTGCAATGTCCACTCATTAAATTTGCATAAAATATGAATAGCAGCAAGTTAGTGATCAATTATTATTAAATTATCAGCATTAAATTCCATTTCGTATTCAACTTTTAAAGTCTAATCGTTAAAACGTGAGCATCTGTGAATAATGAATAATTTTAGCACGAAAAGGCTACCAGTAACACCGATAACAGGTACTCCAATAGAAAAGGATGTTCAGATTCCAGAATCTGTTGTGACTGAAGAAATATTTGTACCTATTGGGAAATCAGCGAGGTGATTTATTTTGCAAAAATTATCGTATCCGGATTTTTAAAAATTATTTTTTGTGGTATCTGAATTAAAAAAACATGGAAATACAAATGACTTTTTATTTTATGCAATGCATATCTCACTAAATTTGTTATCCTTGAAAACTTCATAAGCAAGATACTAATTTCTGTTGTTGAAAGTAAATTTTTAACGAGAAAGATCAGCTTTCAGAGATCCACTACCATCAAAAGGTGTAATGACTGCAAACAGAAATAAAATAACAGCACAAACTGGAGCTGGAATATCGCATACGAGAATACCAACAAATATACGATTTACAGAGGAGCGGCATCGATCACGTATTGTCAATATTTTTAACGAACAGAAACCAGAGAAATGAATGTGCATTGTAATTCAACATCACATATTGTATGAAATATTTTATTTCGAAGAAAATGAACACATAAATTAATAAAAAAATAATAAAATATTAAGAATTAATAAATGTTTCTCAGTCTCTTTCAGCGATAGCGTTCAAATGGTGATCAACTTCCGTATTTGATAGCTTCCTATAAATATCTTCTTGATCATAATTCTACGAGATGTCAACGTTATTTCACGCTAGCGATTCACCAATTCATTTTTGATTTTTTTTTATCTTAAACTATTTTTGTTAATCTTCTTGCTAGGTATTTCAATACCTGAATTTTCTGTTCTCGTTCGTAACAACTGCGACCTCAACTTCTGATGCTTTCAAATCAACGCCCAAGGATGATTGCAAGCATTCAAGGGCCAACTAAAAATATCAGATTCTTTAATGTTACTTTTAAATAAATTTGAGTGAATGACTACTGTTCCTAAATTTAAATGATATTAAGGACGAAGCTAGAATGAAAGAACTCAATAAAACAGTAGATTTTTGCAAAAAGTGTAAAATGCATTGAGAAAATAAAGAGCGAGAACTAACTCTAACTGATTAAATTAATGATCTAAATTCACAATAATATTTAAGCTCGAACAAAGCACTAAGAAAAGTTTGTTTTATTAGAATTCAGTTTAAATAACTTTAATTTCATCTAAGTTGGTTAAAGTCACGGATGCAAACAAAGTCTTATTTTATATCTTGATACTACGGCAAATTATACCTGTACTGTACCATCGTAATCATAATCAGTCTTTTTCTTCAGCTTTTTCTCCAAAAAACTATTTGCAGGTTGTTGTTTTACACCAACACCAACACCACGCATTCCTCGATAATAACCAGCTGGATCTACGCGAAATATCTGAGGTCCCTCCTCATCATCATATGAGATAAGTAGCATAACTATAACAGTTTAAACCATTAGTTCTGTGCAGACGAATAATGATCACTTTCATATTTCATTTATTTGATGAAGATACTATATTATATATATATATATATATATATATAGAATTCAATACGTCTCAAGAAGCTAATTTGATTTAATCTCTGATATAAAGCCCATACCGCAACCCAATGAACGTAGCTCTGCATTCTGAGTGTAATACTGATTGAGATCAGCCATCCTTCTGCTAAGTTGCTCCACGGACATGTTGTAACCATTCTTGTATTTCCATTCAGCCGCCTCTATTTGAGCCCGTTTAACTTGGAATTTACTATCCGCTTAAAACAAGTGGTTGAAATGTAAATTAAACGTCAGCTTACTTAAAGATTATATTCAAAATACTTCTAGAATTTTCTTTTGGAGCACAAAGTAACGAATATAACGGCCATTAATTTACTACTTCCAAATAATGCACTTTCCAGGGAAGTTTTGTCTATTTAAAGCATTTGTCTGCATTTATGAGTTTGCATCTAATGCAACTTTTCAGATATATCTCTTAATCTAGAATTATTGAACATGAATCAAAACATACGTATCATGCCGACCATTGCACAGCCAACAGTTGGTGTCAATTGATATAAACTTGTCACAGAATCAGTCACAATCAACTTATCCTGAAATTTATGGATATGGCACAAAATGCTTTCATACAGAGAGCGATGAAAAAAAAAACAAACGAAAAGAATGAACAAAGTCAACTTCGATGAGGCGTTTAGTTTCAATCATTCAATACTTAACGATGAATACCAAAAGATAAACTCCAGTAAAATACTTTTTTCTTCACCCGATTCATGGATCAAATGAAAACATCAATACTGGAGTAATAATAAAGCGTTATAGTTTAACATTACGCATTTCATATCTTTTGTAAAAGAATTATATATTTTATTGAATATGAAATGTTGGATGCAGAAAAACTTACAGGTACACGTTTCTGTACAGCCACAACAGCACAGTTAACACCTTTCACACCAACAGCAGTCAAATTCGTTGAGTTTATCGCCTTGAAAGCATATTCTAAAATGAAAAACAAAAATCTACAAACATTTCAAAATAATAAACTTTAATATAGCTTTCCACATAAATTAATCTATTGACGGTACCTAAATTACTCACCAACTTGGTACACTCGTCCTTCAGGAGAGAAAATTGTAATATGACGATCGAATCCTGCACTGCTTCCTCGCGACATTCTGACGTCTGGAAGACTTGCACACGCTTATTTTAATGGCATGTCCATTTTTAATTACCGCAAATACCGTTGGACAGGAAAGATCTATGCAGAGGTTCTCACGTTTGCCGCGTTTAAGAATATATAGACGCAGATGAAGCATAGCTCAGAAACGTAAAAAAGATATTTGCTCCCTTTTAGATACTAAATTCAGTTAAACATGAAAATTCATCAAGTGTATTAAACATAAAGAAGCTTTTTTAAAAATGCATCTTACAAAAAACAGAATCATTTGCGAACTGTCGAATCAGTCCAGGTAAAAAAATAGAATAAATATTGAACAGACATGTAGCATATAGAATTGGGTCGACCAATTCTCACATCATGAAAATTGAAATTTCCATACAACTCATTGAACAATCATTGGAATCTACCTGCTTTCAAGCCAGTAATGGATATCAAATTGCATTTTTTATAATAAATATGATCAAAGAAATGACCTTTACAACATGAAACACTACATCCAAGGATAAAATATATTTATTGTGCTAATAAATAGTACGTTACATAGAAGTGAAAAAAACTGGATACAATCAATGAGAAAGGATCCTACTTGCAAATAAACAAGTAATCTGGGCATGACGATCATAATGCCTATTTGGAATATTTCAAAAAATAGCATACTTTCAAGTCAAAATTTTCAATCTTCATTTCTAAGTTTAAGTTTTGAACACTTCTTTTCACAATTCGCACAATAGGCAATGAAAATATTCGCAAGAGATCAATAAATTAGTAATTAATATTGAGTTAAAATATTTTTCAGAGTACCGCTGGAATCTATTTGTAAATCACCGTGTAATTCATCAAAATAATGTTGAGCGCGACGAGAAGCAGACATTTTGGCACGAGATGATGCTCTGTTCATAATGCATAGATATGGTAAGTAATCAAGGATTACGTCTGCAAAATAACTTTTCAAAAGTTACGCTAAAATTTCCAAATGTTCTACAAGTATTATTTGGGTAATAAAGCTAATTGAAAACTGTGTAAACTACTATCTCTTTATACAGTAGATTAAGTTTTCATTCCTCGAGATCTTGAATTACAAACTCTAAAGGATGGGCAAATTTTAGACTTATGGAAATGCATTATTTCAACAAGAACCCAAAAAATCTAAGCAAATTAAACATTAGACTAAGCCAGTCAAATTAAGCCAAATAAATCAAAAGTGACAGAAAAACTTACCGGACAATGGGAAATACTCAATTGCAGGTAGTACAGAACGAGTAACTTTCACTGCAATATGCATGTCATTCTTTTCCACAGGGTGTAAATCCTCCTCCTCTCTAAAATCAAAATCTGCATTTTTTTAAGCGAGTTCATTGATCAATTTCAGTTTTTTTTTAATGAGCGTAATACTACCGATCCGTTGACGAAAGAACTGTTCCTGGTTCATACGAATGGTCACAGCGTAATATGACATTGTACGAAATGGAATGACATTTTTTGGGCAATGCTTCAAATTCTATTTGCTCCTCACTCTTTAACTGTTCCATCAGCTGCAAAAGTTTGAAATTTTGGACAGTTACTAAAATGAACTTAATTTTAATACTTCATTTCTTACATAAGAAAAACTTTGAAACTCTTATCGCTTGATTAAAGCTCGGCGTTGGGACATAAAGTATTGGTTAGCGTTGGAACGGATTGATATATTATGGAAGATTCCAGAGTATGTAGAGCTAGTAACAAGTGCTAACTACCAAGACCAAATAATTTAAACAATTAGATCTACAGTCTAACTGTTTAAATTGTTTGACAATCTAACTGCCAATCAGATAAATTTATGAAATGAACAGTTTGGAAATTGATATTGTAAATAACCTTTCGAGAAATTTTTAATCTCTCTGCACTACCAAAAAGATCTTATCAATAAAAGCTTATTATATATTTTTTTTTTCATTATGTTTGTAATTAACCTACCATTCCTAAAGAATTATTGCTGTCTTCTCCAGCATAAAACTGAAGCTGATTGATACATGCTCGTAAGTCACCGTTATACTGCTTAGCCAGGGCACTGCAGACATCGGAACATACGCTGATATTTAAAGCAGCACAGAGTTTCTGAAAATATTCGAGTAATTACTTTTGGTCTGTTCAGCAGAAAAAAAAGAGAAAAGAAATGATGGTGAAAACTATCAACCACAAAAAATATTATCAAAAATGAAAAAGAATAAAGGAATTTTATCAATTTCAAACAATGTACCTGCAGATGCAAAGAAACAGCTTGTACTTCTGGTCTAATTAAAGAAAATATGAGAACGGGAACTTCAAATCCTAGTTGTTTGCGAACAAAAGAAATATCTGAAATTAGCGAACAATCATGACACTAATATATATTGTGCTCTAAAACTAACAATGAAGCATATGAAACAAGTAGTAAATGATAGGAAAAGATAAATATAAAATTTACCTTCACAAACAATGATAACTGGAGTATGAGCTACCTTGCACAAAGCTCTTAGTGCCGGCCAGAATCCCTCGTCGTGCTTATCGTATATTACATCGCACTAAAACGAGTGATTTCTTTTTTCTACTATAGAAAAGTTATATAAAAAGAAGAAACAAATAAGAATTACATCGTCAACTAAAATAATAGAATCTTCAGCTATCTCTCCTTCATTCTTGCCATCTCGGAAAAACATCTGGTTTACCATTGTAGGCATTGAAAACTGAAACAGTTCAACATAACTTATTGAACTGGAAAATCATTGCAAGTTCAGTGGAAAATACTGAGCTTTTATGTTAAATATTTCATATTTTCACAAAAAATGAAACTACAACGAGATAGACTTTTCCGATTAAGAACAAGAATCAAGAAATGATTCAAATTCAATAATTAACAGCGAGGAAGACCTTGTGAGAATGTGTAGCTCCTTGCAACTTACACTTCAGTTGCAAGCCATTTCTCTTTTCATTAGAAGCAATTTCTAACACACGCATTTCATAACGCTTCGAGGCTGCATAAACCTGAAATAAACAACGATAACACATTTCAGTATTTCATTCATTATTCTCATCACTTTTCAAAATTAAAATTTCTTAAGGATTACTAGTGATGTTTTTCCACTACCACAGTGACCATATATAATAGCAGTATTACACAACTGCTCTCTTTCTTCATCAGAACCAAAAGAATCGAAGGAATCCGAATCAGACCTTTCACGTCGATTGGTTACTTTTACATCTGTAAACGCCAAGGCGATAGCATTATCATATAGTATATTCTTTCATTCTTATATAGTATCTACAAAGTTTATTCATTACAAAAAAAGCATTCATCTTGGCATCATTTCCTTAGCCAAGCATGGAATACCTCACCTTTCTTATGGTTCCTGCTTTTCTGCAATCGTTCTTTCCATATATTAATCCAGTCACACAGTTTACGAACAGTAGGACCGTCAATAATTAATTCACCAGTTTCCACTGGCCTCAATGCCTCACTCCAAATGTTTTGCTGCAATTCTTCAGTGAGCGATTTCCATCTTTCATGTTTTGACCACTTCTTTCTCGAACTGCAAAACAAATTTGCGATAAACAGTCTTCAATAATGTAACAGATAAAGATCAAAAGATCGTGAAGAATAGAGAGACGAAAACAAGGAACCTTTTCGATTTCAACAAGATGCGTGAATCAACGACTGCAACTTTCTGTTTCAATTCCCTGTTTTCATCAAAGTTCTTTCTCCGGAACGGCATTTGAAACATATTATTATTGCATGAAATCATCTCAGAAATCTGATATCCACGAAGTCCACATGGCAAATCATAGTAAACAGGTGAAATCTCAGCATATCCAACGTTCGAAATGCTCGGAAAAGGTGCAAAATCCACCTCATCCATTAGAACTGCAGTATAGGATATTAGAGCTTATAGAGAATTATAGGTACCTTGTCTTTATGATTCCCAGGCTCTTTCCCCTTGAAGGTGAATGAACCAACATAATTTCCAGCATTCATCAACGGCTTCTTTAAGCGCTAGTAAAGAAAATCATGTCAATTCAAAATTCGAACCTCTTTTCTTCTCATGTTTTGGGATGCAATTCGTTACCGCATCGGTAAGTCGGCCACTACACACTGGGGAGATATTCATAGCTGCATCTGATTTATTCGTTACCGTCTGCCTGGTATTTCCTACACATACTTTTTTCTTGAAGAAAGTCAGCGATTTCCGAGAAGTACTGTTCAATTTCTGATCGTTAAGGAGTATCACATCATCATCCATCTCATCATTATTTTGCTAAATTTGTCGATAAAGTAGCTTAAATTCAAGATGTCAATATGACAGCTATTAATACTGATCGAACGTAACTTCTTGAACAACAACTGATAAATCAAAATTGTTCACGGCAAAATACCAATAAGAAGATTCGAAAGTCTATAGGTCAACTGAATCTACCAGATACTATTAAACTGAGCTGGACTCAAAACTGAACGAATTAAACTAACGCTGCAAAATGTTGCTGAGGTAGAACATTGAGATCCACAAGGATTTTCCACACCCGTAAAGATTGGACAAGCACTGGTTTCCTATAAAATATTCAAATAATGTTTTACATGCCATCCACAGGCAGCATATCGGACACAACCAATTAATTAAATAATTTTAATCAAAGCAGAGATGCTAAGGCAATAGAGTCGTGTAATGCAAACAGTAAAGAAGCTGAAATCTTCAACTTGACGACTAGTAATCAACCTCTTTAACAGATTTCTTCCAGAAACACTTATCGAAAGTTTATGTACGCAATTCACCAGATATGTGCAGCATGATTTCATTGATTGGAAACTTACCTCGCACAAACTTCCACTCATTTCTCCTACAATAATTGTTTGACGACGGTTCGAAGCCGGCAATTCATTAACTGCTTTCTGCAATAACATTGACTTACGACGACATTTATTTTCCTTCTCCTGCTTTTCTGAAAAGTAATAAAGCTAAAAATCAAACACTGCGGTTTAAGCAGAGAATAAACAGAACAGAATAACAAATAGTACCCGACATTAAATATTCGGTTCTAAATAAATGAAATCAAAGCAGTAGATATAATAATAGATACAATAATGCCCTTTTTATTAACTTTTATTTAAATTGCTACTCGATAATCCTGCAAAACTTCTCCTACGTGATGATTGTTTTCCAACCAACACAATGTCGCGCTGCACTGTACTTTCACCAGCCATCTCTTGTTGTTGATCCCAAACAAGTGGATCTTCTCTATCAACTAAATGATCCCATTGGTTCGGTATCTCTTGCAACCACTTTTTAACCCTGAAATAATGATAGTAAATAGAAATATTTAAAAGCCGTTTTACACTTCTTATTTTCTTAAGATTTGAAAGTCAATCCATTCTCATTATGTTGTGTATATTAAAACTTAAAAAATTTATTCAAAATGAAGATATACTTTGCTTTTGGTCCTGTGCGAGGGACAACCAATAAAGATGAGTGTTCTACACCAATACATGCTTTATTACACTGTTGAACACTATCAGTTTCTTTATCGTATGCCATATTTAAATTCGTATTTTCTTTATTTTCATTTATATCCTGCAAAAGCGAACCTTTCAAATTTAATAATTCATATACATCTAATGTGCATGATTGAATAATGAATGGTCTTTAAATATTACTAAATGAAAATATTTGCAATGTGCGACTACTAACCAAACAGATAAAACTTTTACTAGGAAAATATCAGCTTACTTATTGTTTAAAACGCAGTCAATCAATAATGAATAAACCTTTTCCTTCATGACAGAAAGGCTGCGCAATCGATCTCCACGCACCCACATGACCGCTGTTTCTTCCTTAAATGTTTGCAGTTTGTGTTACTAAAAATATATCAATTTTCAAAAAAGTTCGAGTGCGTTACAATCATTAAAACTCCATAAAATAACAAAGTTATAAGACGGCTCCACAATTTAATTTCATCATTTAGAAACAAATTTGAGTCTGCAAATTAATTCGCGAGAATGGACGAAAAAATGTTTAAATCGAGCTACGACGAATAAATATCTGATATCAGTTAATCTTATTATGCTTCAAGAAGTGCAGTGTTCAGAACTTACCATATGTCGCTTGGTTCTTTTCATTGTGGTTCTTACTTCCGATATATTCGATTCGGAATGATCAACTTCTTCTTTGGCACTTATACAATTGTCGACTTCTTTCTCTTTCGGTTGCGACTCATGATCATCTTTGAAAAATATGCCAAAAAATAAAGGTGACAGATGTATATCTAAAGTTTTCCACATAAAAATAGTAAACATTGAATGATAATAACTTCGTACAACCGATCAGAATATATTTACCACTGTCAATGATGTCAATTGGTCCACTACTGCTTTCATCATTTTTCGTTTCCGGACATTCTTCAACAGCCTTCTCCATTTCTGAATGACATTGGAAAGTTTCGGATACGGCAGGTAAAAATCTGACTGCCTCATTTTGGGAAATATTGGTAGTGGTATCCTGCAAGACAGCAGGTTGGGTAACGGGCATGTCACATTGCATACTATCACTAGCAGTCTGAAAAAAAAAGTTCAAAGAAACACATTGCCATTTCAAGTAAAAAATAAAGCTTATGACACGACTTCCACTTTTATTTTAGTTTCTTTTTGGAAACGAATAATGTTCAATTTTTTAGAAATTCACATATTTCGAGAATACGATACTAAGAAAACGTCTAATGTATAACTTTCACTTAGTAAGAAAATTTTACTTTCTTTTTTTGTGCAGAATCTTTTACAATTGGTGGGGAGTCTGGCATTTTCACAACTCCAGGTATCTTCCCAGAACGTGGAGTGATGTCATGAATACTCAAGACGGAATGGAAGCGCACATGTTTATGCTTATTCCATCCTTTTGCTCTCATTGTTATACGTCGAGCTGCTTTGTGAGCAGCACTTCGTAAAATAGGCTTCAATGATACCGGTGGAGATTCGTAAGTTATCTAGAAATGAATTAAAATTAGGAAACTTATTTAATACTGCTAGCTATGGTCTGCAATAACCTCTCTGTCAATAATACGTAAAAAACTACTGATATGTTAGAAAGTATTCATCCATCTCATATGATGATATCTCACAAACTAATGCTAGGAAAACCAAAATAAAATGATAAAATTTCTAATGTCAAAGTATTATACACACAGCAACTAAAGATATACCTTGAATTTTCTTACCAAAGTTTTTGATCTTGCTCGGCAAATTGATTTTCGCAAATGCACTGACGAACGTCGCTTGCTCTGCGATTTGACTATTTCCTCTTCAAGCGTTTTCTCGTTGTCATTGCTGTGACAGTCAAATTTTGATACATCATCAGGAACAATATCATTTGCTTCTGTCTAAACAATTAAGTAAAATTAATCACTTACAATATCGACAGGAACTATGATATTAGGGAAAAAGAAGAGAACTAATAACCCTAAAAACTTACATTTTTGAAAAACAACGATGATCGTCGTCTCAAATGTCTCCGGCCAAATGAGGCTTTTTCCAGTGAATCATTTATCTGTAAAAAAACGATACAAGTAATTAACAAACAAACATGCAACACTTATCGTTTATCATCGAATGTGTGACATGAAAAACACATTAATTTTATAAACAACATTAGCAATAAATTTAATTGGCAAAATACTCATAATAGAGCTGTAAGATTTTAAAATTTTAAATTAAAAAAAAAGATTATAAAAAAGAAAAAAGTACTAACGTTTTTGTCAACTAATGATGTCGTGTCATTGAATGAATGAATTTGAGATTGCTTAGAAATAATATCTTCATCAGTTGCCATGCTGCACTTGATTATATCATTAATTTTAATTTCTAAAATGGCAAAGTTCATTACTTCTTTTATAGGCAAAAAAATAAACTAATAATCAAAGCAATAAATTAATGATCATATAGAACTGCACAATTAAATTAATGAAAGTTACAATGATAAATTAATAATGAAAATTACAAACATGCACGACATTAATAACCTTTCCCACCGCTCCCTACCATTAATGCCACTTCGCAACAATCTGTCGGTTGCCACTCCTGGAAGTCCCGCCTCTCGTATAAATTTGACGTACGTAATGTTGCTCGTTGTAACACGTTACTGTATACAGCGGAAAGGAAATTAGGAGAGCATAACTAAGATGAAAATTGCAACATTTATCACGCAAATAATCTATAAGTAAAACGTCATTGGAAGTCAAAAGTCCATATTGCTAGTAGTCAAAAATGCATATTTCGCAGTCCAGGAAATTCCTAAAAAATATCTCGAAAAAAAAAAAGAATTATTATGATTTTAATAAATGCAAGATCAGAGGTCAAGAAATAGATCGAAGAAATTCCGCAATTCTTATTTGATTCTCATTGATTAGATCAGATTTATTCAATGAATTTGAAGTTAATCAATGTTAATCGGATTGCAATTTGTTTTATTTCCACAATGGATCGAAATTCTCTAATTACACCATTTCACCTATGAAAATATTTTTATTTCAATTTCAAAATACTTTAATTTCAAAAACATTTTAAATTTCAATCATTTACAGTAATATACTACTACAAATACCCATTTATAGTAGTATATTCGTTAACAATAACATGGACTTACAGTAATATCCGTTAATGACATGATTGATATTAGTGATCGGAAAACAGCAATTAATGCATGAATGAGAGAAGCATTTGTTACATGTGATCGATAAATTGAGATATCAATAAATTGATGATTTAAATTTTCACATTTTGATAACTTCTAAAAGGAAGAAAATACAAAAAAAATTAGAATGATTTTAAGAATTTATTATAATATACAAAAACTTTCATTCCTTTCTTTTTTGCTTAAAAAGAACAAAGCTAAATATTGAATTGATACTAATAGTTATGATACAAATTACAAAAACAGGAAAAAAAAAAGCAAAGTCATTGAGAAAATTTATTTTTCATTTTTTTTCTCCATCCCTCCCCTCCTTTTACTCTCCAACTTTTCATTCCATAGATTTCATCATAATATGCTATTTTTGAATTGCAACAATTGACAAAAAAGTAAAACGGCAAAAATAATTGGCAACAAGTAAAAAGCATTTTGTACAAATGAATAATGATTTCAGTGGAATTTGTTAACGACAATTCATCCTCTAATAGATTTTTCTCATGATAATCCATCCACCTTTCTCATCATAATCCATCCATTTTACAATTTGTAGCAATTATTATCACTACTGTTATTTAAGTAACAATTTAAAAAATAGAAATTATTCAATTGCTCGAAATTTCAATCACAATGGTACGCTTTGCAAGTGTATTGCTGATATTGGCGACAGTTTATATGACAAAATGTTTCATTCATTTCGACGGTATAATTTTGCATTTATTAATTTTTGTAATACGCAAAGTGCTCTATTATTAAGGATAACACAGTGGAAAATCTTTCAAAATATTCGATAATATTAAAAAAAAAATTGATTTAAAAAATTGCCTAAAAGTGTTCTACTGTTAATTTTGTTCGTTTTTTAATTTTATCGTTAAAAATCTGTAATTAGTTTTATTTTTAATTTTACATCATCAACTAGAAATCTTACACTAAGAATTTGAAAAATAAAAATAGAATAATGGAAGAGGAAAAAAAAATGGTGGTATTTTGAATGAGAAAAATGAACGAGGTAATCAGTGATCTATGATTATTTAAAAGAAAAAAAGAAGATTTAGGGAAATAATCATAATTGCTGCAAAGTTGATGAATATGATTGTAGAAAAAAAGTTTAAAAAAAAATTTCTTCTCTTCTTCTTCTTTCTTCTCTTCTTTCTCTCTTCTCTT